AAGCCCGCAACCGTTGCGCACGAGTCATGACAGCAACTGCACGGGTCTGATGCGCCTCAAACTCATGCGCGGCCCGACTCACAGACTCCTCCAACACCAATTCTCCAGGCATGACAGCGGTCGTCATAAAGGTACATGAACCCACCACATGCTCAAGTGGTCGTATGAAAAAGCCTCCTAGCCTGGGGTCACGTCCACACCGAACAGGCTTCGTAACTACACCAGCCTCTACCGGGACCACGCGATCCTGCACCATACAGGACTCCAAGTCATCCAGTCGTACCATCACCGCGCCAACCACAGCACTGATCACAGGCCGATGCGCATCCACCATTGTCCAAAACTCCTCAGCCAACGTGAACTTCTCACAACGAGGACTAAGATGACAAATTAACGTCACAAATGGCGGCGGCGACATCGCCTCACGCCCATGCTTCAAAAACACACCATGCTTAGGTGGAATAACAATTGGCGTATCCGCCAACAATGGGACCAACTGCTTAAACCAAGCAGCCTCAGGATAATACGGCACCACCAGCGTCGCAGTGGCTCTATCTGACTTCACCCGTTGAACAACAGCATCCAACTTGGAAAACGGAGCATTCATGTACCAACGCCGCCCGAACCAAGTGTCCAAAGCAAACACCCCACCGTCTAAAGTGGGCGAATAGTATGGCACCATCAAGTTATTGCCCGGCAATGCAAACCCTTAAAACTCGGAAATGTACAATATTTACCAACTTTGATCTCTGTGTGCGATGCAGCTTTTATTACTTATTTCAGCTGAGGTGCTTGTAGGATTGAAACCAGGTGTGTTGGTGTAAACGGTGTTTAATTTGTGTCAATTGTGATCGCCAATAGTATATATAGCGGACGCTACGCTGCCGTATGACCACACACCAACGATACTACTTAGCTATCACAGCTTAAACGTGAGCAAAAGTTATACACCTTTCTTCAACACGAAGAAGTAAACACCTCAAAGTGACAACAATCTGGCAGCCTGCTACTAATTCGGATGCGACTGGATATCTCTTTACTGGTTGCAATACTTGCCGTTACATACTACTACTTTTTACTGCCAGTTACAGTCGAATACTTATTTAAAACAACTTCAGTCGAAGAACAAGTACATTCGGTTACCGAGAACACCCAAGCTACTATGTCGAATGTATGCTACCATGTACACAGAAAATAATGGCGGTTGTACTTGGCTACATAAGTGTCGGTCTCTACGCTTTGCTTTGTGTCTTTGTGTCTACTTCAGCAGTAGAGTATCAACGACAGCTGCTTCGCTTGAATGACAAATCAGTAGCAGTGTGAATCTTGCCGATTTGTTATGATATTTAGCGTAGAGAGTCTCGGCATAAACCGCACGTACGTTGAATTTTGTAGAATGTGTGTGTCTCATTGATATTGAACTTCTCATATGACGTCTGCGATTTAAAGAACTATAGTTGAACCTACCCGTACTGTGCAAAGTATATGTGTGTAATCATTCATCCATCCTCATGTGCCATGCTTCAGATACCAATCCATACAATGTGGTGTATCGTTGATCTGACAATCCACACCATACCATCCTTCATTTTGCCACAGATACTGTCACGTAGTGTTGTTCAGAGCGTGCTCTCAGTTGAACAGGCCGAGGGTGCCGGTGCCCGTGTGCGCCGGTCTATTGGAGGTAGACAACTGCGCAACTTTGACCCGTTTCTAATGCTGGATGAGTTCAAGGTTAAGGCCCCCAATGGCTTTCCCACGCATCCACACTGGTATGTACTCGTTTGTTATTTTTGGAAAAGAGAGACTACCACGATGATCAGAATATCTGAATATGACTCCTGTTATAGCTCTGGGATGTTCGTGTGTATCTGGAGGCTCGTCTTGTACGCTCGTAGTGTTCATTCACATTCCCGATTGGTTGGTGTGTCACTTGTTGTAAATTCTCTATTCCACTAATCAGTACAGTCCTGTGGTCCGGTCCTAAAATAATCCTCTAGGTGCGGTGTTCTAGTATGCTTACACTGCACGAACAATGTTCAATGAAGCTGTTCCCAAGACAACTGTCAAGTGAAAATACGTATCCTTCGGTCTCGATTGACAGAGTTTTCGAGATATAGTTGTAAGTTCACGTACGCTTTTATGGCTACATTGTGCTTTTCATGGAAGAGTCAGTGGAAGTGAGAGTGTGCTCGTATCGAATCCGTATGTGTACGCTGAATAGATACAGCCACGCCACCGGAAGAAACTGTATCTACCACAGATATGTGTGGAGAATGCAAGTGTATTTAACGCCACCGGAAGAAACTGTATCTACCACAGATATGTGTGGAGAATGCAAGTGTATTTACAGTGTTGAATTCTCAGCCCAAACCAACGCGCGAGCATCATAAATCACTGTGTAGATAAATTCATATGGAACAATTCGCTTCACAGGGGATTTGAAACAGTCACGTACATGCTCCAGGGGGCCGTTTCCCACGAAGACTTTGCCGGCCACCAGGGAGTTATATATCCCGGCGATTTGCAGTGGATGACCGCGGGACGGGGGATCATGCACAGTGAGAAACCGTATGGCACAGGGGAGTCAGCAGGTCTGCAACTGTGGGTGAACTTGGCGAAGGAGTACAGAATGGTCAAGCCAGCGTGCCAAATATGGATATCTATTTGTTGGTACGTATTCGATATTTAATGGTACGGATTAGAGATTTAATAGTACGGATTAGATTTTGATGAAGGGTCAGCTGCCGATTCTTTTATAATAAGAGCTCGATTGGTGTGTTCACCCTTTCTGGGATCGATCCCTTATTCCCATACAATGAACACTATGTCTCTATGTACAATGGCTTGGTCGTGCCTGGGTAAGCAACCTAGCCCCTCGACCTTATTGCCAAGCGTAGTGTATCGAGTGCGTGCTTGTCAGTTATATGTTCTATTCTTTCGAGGATATAACAGTACAGTATATAATAAAGCATCTGCTAACTTTTTATCGAGGTGACCTATCCTTTGCCCATCAGGAACTTAGAAGCAAGGACATAAGCAAAGTGGAGAAGGACGGTGTGCACATAGCCGTCATCGCAGGCAAGGCGATGGATGTGGAGAGTGTGGTGTACACACGCACCCCTACAATGTACCTGGACGTCACAATGCAGCCCGGAAGCAGCTACAGTCAGGCAATCCCCAGTGATATAGCATATGTTTAGAACACCTGCTACGATGTTTGCACAAGGTTCACATGTATGGATGCGCCCCAAGCGCACCAATACGAATATACGGCATTGCATTCGTATGTAGTTGTGCGTAATCTTGCCTGTATTCGGTAGTGAAAACGTTTATACGTATTCCAACCCATGGCATAGCTGACTTTGGTGCAAAGTCTGGTCGTGGGGTGCACATGTTTGTTTTATAGTTAGTATTCTATCGTTCGATACCTTTGTGCTTGTGCATGTGTGTCCGCTTGTACATGTGTGTCAGTACGCATGTATGTACTCCCGTTCCAATCGACCTTTGCATATCTGCAAGGGTGCGGCAAGCGGTGCTTAACGTTATCAGACACAGCTGCTCACATATGTATGGGACGCCAATTGAAAGAACATGATAGCTGCCATGCTACACGCGCATGTGTACACAGGTTCATACGTACAGAAGGGCGTCTCCTGTGCTTATAAAGCTTTCATGAGAAGTCAAAGCCCACGAACGCACATAAACGTACCTCAGACTTAGACTACCACACCCTACGCTTATATGCCACAGATTATAACGCGTTCGCATACACGTTGAGTGGCCAAGCCGTATTTAGGACCGAGGGAAGCACAACACCGTCTGACGCGCACTATACCGTTGTGTTCTCGTGGCAAGAGGGGGAGTCAGGCATACACATCTCTGTGCCTGCCGATGCCAAAGCGGTGTGTGTGTTTGTGGCGTTTGCATATCAGTATCATGGGTGCCTGGTTAAACGTCTATATCAAAGTCAAGGAACTCCTTGGCTAGACTAATACACGCATCATAGTGCCGGCCTAAGCCAGAGAGGTGCTACTGTGTGTTAGTATGTAGTTAATGTGACTGTGTGTTAGTATGTAGTTTTTGTGACTGTGTGTTAGTGTGTAGCTATTGTGACTGTGTGTTAGTGTGTAGTTATTGTGACTGTGTGTTAGTGTGTAGTTATTGTGACTGTGTGCTGTGTGTTAGTGTGTACTTTTTGTGACTGTGTGTTAGTGTGTAGTTATTGTGACTGTGTGTTAGTGTGTAGTTATTGTGACTGTGTGTTAGTGTGTAGTTATTGTGACTGTGTGTTAGTGTGTAGTTATTGTGACTGTGTGTTAGTGTGTAGTTATTGTGACTGTGTATTAGTGTGTAGTTATTGTGACTGTGTGTTAGTGTGTAGTTTCTGTGACTGTGTGTAAGTGTGTAGTTATTGTGGCTGTGTGTTAGTATGTAGTTAATGTGACTGTGTGTTCGTATGTAGTTGATGCGACTGTGTTGTGCTTCAGGTCTGTTGCTTGGCTGACATCATACGGTTCGCAGACCCTCCTGCAATAGTTTTGCACTCCACTCGTAGTGCGTAAGAATGTTACATCTTGTTTCCTCTCGCTCGACCCATCTACCCGAGGCACCGCGTGAGTAAGCGTTGAACTAGGCTTCACGTATTGTATCCGAGTACAAACGTTAGACCAGTTTTTGCACAGTGTATTAAACTTTGAGACGTATACTACGCGGCTGCTGCTAGTGCGCTCGATCGTACTGGTCTTGGTGACAGCTACTTTACGCTTTCACACCGGTGTTCATTCATGGTTAGGCAAACCAACATTGCCAAGCACCCACCCACGTGACGATTGTGCATGCTAAATGAAAATTCACACACTTCTCTTGACTTACTGTGCTATAGCCAGCGAGGTTTGTTCTGCTCGGTGGAAGACCAATCAATGAACCGATAGTACAACATGGCCCGTTTGTGATGAACACGCAGGCTGAGATTAGGCAAACCTTCGAGGACTTCTCGAATGCAAAGGTACTTAGACCTGTCGTTGTTAGGTATACTTGAGCACAAAATCAGACAAAGGTTTGATGCGTGTCCAAATACGAAGCTTCGTGGCTGTGTCTGTTTTGCCTTCTATATGCAGCTGATAACATATTATTTGAATTAATTTGCATTAGTTTCTTGGTATTGATAAGTTTCCTTTAGAATGCTTTCTATATGCAGCTGATATCAGATTACTTGAATTAATTCGCATTAATTCCTTGCTACAGATAAGTTTCCTCTACAACTCTTTCTATAAGCAGTTGATCCCATATCACTTGAATTAATTCGCATTCGTATTTCGCCCCTTTGACCGGCAGAATGGATTTGAAGGTGCAGACACATGGCAAGCCACTCAGGATGTGAGTTTGGATTAGCTAGCCCGCATGTAGGTACCGCAAATAGTTGCCGTACATACATAAGAATAAGTACAATAGTTAACGTACATCAGAACAAGTACAATATTAAACGTACATCAGGACAAGGACAATAGTTAACGTACATAAGAACAAGTACAATACAAGAATGTCCACGACTGAATTGTTTCAGCGCAGGTCTAAGGTACTACATATATATTCCCTTTTACGGAAAGACTGCCGATGACTGGGCCATTTGATACACAGCCAATACTAAGGAAATACACAACCAATAATAAGAAGATTGAACCATACAAACGCACTAGCTTAACGTCACATAAACTACATGATACAGGATGAATAAACCATACGTAACGTACTAGCTTAACTTTATATACAATACACGTTACAGGAATAATGAACCATACCTAACGTACTAGCTTAACATTATATACACTAATTGAAAATAGCTATATCGTTTTCAGCGAAAAGCCGGCACGCGGACACTGTAGGTGATCCCCTCTGACAGTGACAGTGTTTCAACACGAAGCCCAGAGGCCGAAACAAAGGGGCTTCATTTCAATCATTTGGCCCGAAGCCGAAATGTCAATGAACGCATATCCCGCCCTTTCTACAGTCAACAATCTGATTGGACGCGTACCCACTGCAGAGTAGCGAATTAGCCAATGGTTTCCGAGCAAGTTTTGATTGTGCAATACAGCCGGCTTCTGAGTTCACTCAGTTCAGTTCAGTTCTGACTGTAGTGAGTAGTGACTAATACTTTTAAAAAGTAGCGATTATTAATGCATACATACTGAGTACTGACTACATATGAATTGCCAAATAAACATACATACAGTACTAGAAAAGTCATGTCTATTATATTATAAAGCATGTTAGCAGGATCCTCGACAAGCCAAGCAATGCAAGCTTTGCGGCCAGCCTAATAACCTCTACCCATGGGCTATGTATCACACGGGAGCGGTCAGCAGGAGTGATGGTCTAAGTCCCCACGATACCACTGTAATGGATAGTATCAAGTTGGGTGATATCGGGGAGAAGACACCGATACGAGAATCGAGCACACTCAAACACCACACCTTTCAACTTAGCACGGCAGTCTATGCACATGTACAACATATTGAAGGATTCCAGATGAAATCTGAGAACTACACCGTAGTTCAATTTTAGCAAGCTAGTGCGGAATAAATATCTTACATATACATACAAATATATATATGTATACATATACGAATATATATATAGTCTTATTTGTAATTATATCCTATCTCTGTTACTGGAGTCAATCCTTAGCGCTTAGAGCAGCGTATGCACCGTTTTGCTACCATATCCATTTATACGCATGTGTGTAGTGTCTGGCCTAAAACAACCGATATATATACACCACTTAACTTTGTATCTTAAGCTCGCACAGACAATCTCATTCCTTTACTAATTATATACATGTACGTGTAGTACTACTAAATAGAGCCATTGCAGGTGCGTTTGGCCGGTTACTCTTCATCATCTCCTTCATCGCTCTCGTCCTCACTGTCACCACTGTACTCCACCATGTCATCGTCGGCCGCATCCTCGTCTTCTGATTGGCTGTCCTCGGACTCTGACTCTGAATCAGAGGTATCTGCCAATGAAATCGTAGGTATAGTTACAGGGATTATAAGTTCACCTGTCTTGGGTGTAAATTGTGTATAGACCAATAGGTCTGGATCAAGGCTAGTACAGGCACACTTGCATGTATCTGCCAATGATAATGTAGGTATAGGTACAGGGAATATAAGTTCATCTGACTTGGGTGTATAATTATGTATATAGTAAAATATAGGTCTGGATCAAGGGCAGTACAGGCACAGTTGCGTGTATATCTGCCTTGTGACTCAGATATAAGCACATAACCTTCTGGCCGAAAATGAGGATAGCTGATGGCAGGTACATAGATGAATACAAAACAAACAAAGCAATGGATCCTAATACAATGCCTGTTGAAAAGCAAACAGTATATACGTACACTAATATTCATGGCAAAGACAATACACGCACATCCAGTAGTTTAAACGGAACACAAACATTATATATATCCATATTCAAAGTAAAGGCAAATACATGCACATCAATGGAAAGCAAACATTATAAACATCCATATTCATGGTAAATAAATACACGCACATCCACCAATTCACATGGGAACGCCGATATACCTTCATCCTTGAACGTTACAGCGTTCTCCTTCAGTCCACTCACACCATCCAGTTGTGCTTGTACCGATATCTGAGACAGACAGACAGAGAGAGGGAAAGTGACAGTGTGCAATAGGGTGAGCACAATGCTTCTATTGTATACTATGACACTATGATCTTATGATACTACGATCATATGATATTATGATACTACGATCATATGATCTTATGATACTACGATCATATGATACTATGGAGACTTCCCACATGATTGCGACTTCCTGTCGTCCACATGGTAGTTTATAGATCTGATCCACGTGTCAAATGCATACGTCGCGCGATGCGAGATTATATCCGATGTTACAAGTATGCGATTGGTATTACACACAAGCATGTGATAAGAACGCTACCCTCGTAAGCATATGATAGGACTACACTTATGAAGTATGAGCGTATCGATGCGCACAGGCATGTGGTGCTCATACTCAAAACTATGCAGGTGTTTTCCTGGTATGTGCTTGTGTATTCTAATGGCGCTTCACGGTGTATTGGTCCGCGAATCAGGACAGTTGCAGTCCTTCTAGATACCAAAGGGGTGCAGGACAGGACAGAGAAATGAACCCATCAACGAGTACACGCGGACAGTTAGCCAAACCTGACCAAACTAGACTACGCGCACACCAGAACCTTCTTTGCGCAATATATGAACGATACTTCAATAAACGCTTGCGACGCTACATCGGGATGGACAACGTTACACACACAAAGGAAGGTAGATGATACAGCCTGAACACGCACCCATACAACCAGTGACAAGCTAGCACATCCCAACAGGGCATACTTTCTGAGACTACGGAACTACGATCCAGCTTACTCAAGGACTGAATGAATCAAAACGCCCCTTATGTACACAGCAGCTATACATTCGAACAACAAAGCAAAGTAAAACCCACTATAACCCAACCCAACGCTTAACGATACGCACCTGGCTCAACAGCAGATCCAGCCGACCATTCAGCGCCAAAAGCTTCCTGAACACACTCAACCGTGCGTCAACCAACGACGACAGACCCCCCAGACTCTCCCGCACGTTGGGGACAGTCATCAGGTAGGATGTGTGGACTACCATCACCGTCTTAATCCACGGCACCAGCTGAGCGCCGCGAACCGGCTTGGCCTGGAATTTGGCTACGATAGCCTCGAGGAAGGGGATGACGTAGGGGGTGGGCAGGTGCTGCACTGTGTTACGCACCACGTGCTCGTTGGTGTTGGAGATACACTCTTCCAGAAGGGACAAGTCGTTGCTGTGTAGGGCCTGCAGGGGTTTAGGGGGTAGTTTTAGGGAGTAGGGAAGGGGGTTTAGAGTTTGGGGGAAAGTCGGATAGTTTCTTTTAGGGTTTAGAGGGTTAAGGCGTGTAGGCTTTTAGGGGGTAGGTAGTAGGGTTTAGGGTTAGAGGAGGGAATTATCAGTTTTAGAGTCCAGGAGAAGTCGGATCGTTTCTTTGCAAGGCCCGTACGTTTCCAGAGAGCAACAATACATCAGTGGTCACTACACGAGGAGATATATATATACACACCCACAAATAGGGTTTTAGAGTTTTATTCAGCACGGCAATGGATAGTCCAACTGTCGCTGAAGTCAATAACGAGTGAAAACTGGGTACTACCAATGCACAAGCATAGCCTTCGGATTTAGAAGGCCATGACACAAGAGCATGTTATACAGATGACACAAGAGCATGTTCAAATAAAAGAAATACAGATACAACTATTACACTACATTACCAATGCACAAGCATAGCCTTCTGATTTAAAAGGCCATGACACAAGAGCATGTTCAAATAAAATAAATACATATGCAACTATTACACTACATTGGTTCATAATAGCAATGACTCAACAACTGACAGATCCCGCTACGATATCACTGTGGCATGGATTCGCAAGCAAATGGGAAAGGAAGCTACGCCCACACCGAATTCGTCGTGGGGATTTGGATTCAAGACTGGTGTTCTGCATGGACAAGTATATACACCCGTGTATCTGTAAAATGCTGTGAATGTGTAGAGGTATCTATAGAAAACATCGGAATCATGCATGGGCAAGTATATACACACGTGTATCTGTAAAATGCTGTGAATGTGTAGAGGTTTCTATAGAAAACATCGGAATCATTAAGGGTAGTACACACATACGCACCTGCGCCAGAAGTTTCGCCAGGGAATCGGCCTTGGTGGTTTTGCCCCTGCTGCGCTTTGTGGGCATATCGTCCTCTTGCTCGATCTCAATCATATCGCCCAATACAGGCCCATCCTGTTGGCTGGTCTTGGGTGTTTTCTTCTCTACTTGTCCGTCGAGGTTCATAGGCATTTCTGCGGGTGGTTACAGCGGTGTTATTAGGGATGCATGGATGTCAATGCATGTGCATATGAAGAAGTCAATGCATGTGCATATAAAGAAGCCAAGAGTATGATGCTCGTTGTGTATGCTTCAGAGCGGAATCGAGTCCAACATGCACGTCAACTAAAACCCTAAAACATAAACCGTGTACGCCCCCACATCTACCTCAAATCGCTCGCCCACCAAAACCAAGTTTACAATCCAATCCCAACACACACCAGAATGCACGTTATCCGCTCCAATGATATGTGCGTTATCCCCGGCCGCCTTGATTCGGCTAGCGCGTGCGTCGGCGTCTGACTGCTGAGTGGCTGCCATGAGATGTATCGGTGCACGGGCCATAGTCCCCCCGTCACTCCATTTACCAGTGCTCTCTTTGTACGAAACGTTTTCAATAGCCGGGCGTAACGGCGTACCCCTCACCACACACAGCTCATTCTCGGGCAGGCGCGCATTGAAACAGGCGTACAGGACACTGGTTGGGACAGAGCCGGATTTGTCCTCTGAACCTGCCTCTGTGCTTGGTGTCTCGGATACGAATGTGCACCTGAACACCGGGTTTTTGGACTGCTTTCCGCTTGATTTGGCCTCTTTCTTGTTGGGCACCTCCCACACTCGCACTTCATCCGCATGCGACACGGCGACTACATTGCATTGCTGCATCAAAATATAAGATATTGGGATCGGCTGAGTCGTGCGATTGGGCAAAAGCTTACGATCCATATGCATATACAAGCATTGAGGCGCTATGACACCTACAGCCGTACAGAGATAACTATTCAATCAGGAACAACACGGAAACAATCTAGAATCATACAAAAGCAAACAATACCAAAACAACCTAGAATCATACAAAAAAAACAGTACCAAGCGGTGTAGAAACATACGAAAACAAACAGTACCAAAACAATCTAGAATCATACAAAAACAAACAGTACCAAGCCGTGTAGAAAATCGCCAAAGATTTTCAAAGTCATATACTCCCAGTACACAACCCCCATCCAATTTAAGGCAGAAGACCTTCTGTAGATCTCACTCCCACACAGCATGTACAACTCAAGTCTTGGGGTTTTACCCTCCATCCACCAGCACGGCCACAGACACCAACCCAACCCGAACGTTAAACCAACTCAACCCAACCCATATACCACCACGACCACAGACACCAATCCAACACTCACATACCGCATCAGGCGACGAGCTGTGTGTCACTGCAATGCACTTGCTGGCTGCCTGCAAGGCAATCGCACCGACGGTGTGAGCGGTCTTGCCCTTGAGGTTCCACACGTTTGCGAATCGACCCACATTGTCGAAGGTCAGGAATTGGTTGCCATTGGGGTACACGCAGATCTGTATGATGCTCTCCTCTTGACCGGAGAAGTTCTGGTGGGAGAGGGGGAGGGCGTCCAATCGCATCAGTATATGGGCTTGAATTGGAAAGTGTACTTCTCTATCTATCTATATGTATATATCTATATGCTGGGATAGAGATAACCCATCTGCAAGGGTGCGAAGTGGGAGCATTGGGAACTACGCTCTCGGCAAAAGCAGCAAACACTTAAGATCAATACTACCCTCGTCAGACCTCATACGATTCAAATACGTTAACTGCACAGAGATCAACGTCAATACGCTCCCTTGCGAACACGCATTACCCACAAGAGTATCAGTACAACACATTCCCTTGCGAACACTCACTACCCACAAGAGTATCAGTACAATACAATCCCTTGCGAACACTCACTACCCACAAGAGTATCAGTACAATACGTTCCCTTGCGAATACGCATGCGTGATAGTATAGCACCGTATGGATTCGTTCGTTCTAATGAGTTGCTGGCGCGAGCCGTGCATGTGCTCATGTATACGAAATCAGGAATTCGATATGTCATCACAGCAATTAAGATGTAAAAAATAGTTAAACAACCAACGTATGGGTGTGGACACCAAGGATAAACCCTAAAACCCTGGAAATAGTACAAGGTTGACACGGGATTCAACGGGGCCAAGGTGTGTTGTGAATAGAAACATTAAGTAGGAAGGCAGTATACAGTCAGGTGAAGGCAAACTCGAACTCTGTAGTCGTCGATGCATACAGTTGCACGCGCACGCAACGGGTGTGGTGGGAAGGGATGGACAGCTACACCCAGATACATGGGATAAACGGAGCGAAGAAGTCCATTCACAGCACTCGATGGACTCTTACAAGCCCTAAACTCCACCCAGCAGGTGCATTGGTTGAGTCTTTATAGGACACTACATGTCTTGTATTTGTGGTACACGGGGCATATATACAAGTACTTGCACATACCTTTGTGGTTTTTTTAGTGTCGAGATCCCAAAGCTTCACAGTCCTACCGGCGGTCAATATGCTCTTTCCGTTTTGACACAGCGCCAATGCTGTGACTTTGTGGTCGTCCGCTTGAAACCGACTGAAACACCATAAGGAGATACAAATGAGAACCTATATATGAAATACACATATTTATATGAAATACAGGTACATAAATATAAATATATATATACATACATGCACATACATACACGCACACATAAACACACACACACACACGTACATATATATATATATGTATTTGAACATTGGTATATGGCTGAATGTCAAACATGTATATACAATTCTATACCTACTTTCCCCTTCCTCTCTACATTTAAGGTAGATACATCAAAATTGCAGGATTGGGTTGTTCCGAACGACGGGATGCACGTGCAATAATAGAAAACAAATAATGCGGACGGTACCAGCATATAAGGAGTAACCCACGCGTATACAGATCACCCAAATGTTCTATTATAAGGCACTAGCACACATGAAATGCGTATACGCGTTTTCGGATGTTAGTATATAAAACTTGCGCACATAACGCCTTCCAGAAATATATATATATATGTATATATATATATATATACATACATATATATATACATACATACATATATATATATATATATATACATATATAAATACACATATACATACATGCTTATATATATATGTATATATATATTTCATGTAGGTATGTATATATGTGAACGTAAATATGCATAAATTTGATGTTGTGTGTATATACATATCGAATATATATATTTTATTATATATATATATATATATATATATGACTACACACACATATATATATATATATATGTGTGTGTGTGTGTGTGCGTGAATAAACAAACTGTGGGATTGCCAAATATATTACCCTCAAGTAATAGCAAATGTACTACAAGTATCGATACATAAAATGCACACTGTTAGCCATATATTTGAAGCGACGCAAATAATTAATAGTTTTTCTTATTGTGACTGTTATTTTTCATACCTCGTTGATGTGCCCGATTCGACTTTCCATATTTGTACGTGCTTGTCATTCGAACACGTGTACAGTGTGCTCCCGTCATCAGAGAAGATCATAGCGTTCACCTGCTCTGTATGTCCCTTTAATTCCTTCACAACCTCACTCTTGGCTATGTCGAATAAGTGCACACTGCCGCTGCGTGTACCTAAGGCTATAGTTGACTGTGTGGGATTCGATGCACTCGGGTTCCAGGCCAGACATGTGTAGGCGTCGCTCAGATTGGCATCTGACACATGCTGTACAACAAGCTTTGATGTGGCTGTGTCATATATTCTTAAACGTCCGTCTGTGCTTAGGCAAGCGTACAACGCCCCTGTTGGGTCTACAGAGCTGTGAATACTCATGACTATATATGTTTGTATGTATTTGCAGGTCGAAACTTTACTGGTTGTGTGTTAACGGATTGCTATTGCAAAGTAGTCAGGAGATGTATACGTCAATGGACCAGTGCAAGTGTCGATTGTTATGATTCGATCGACAAAGCAACACTTTATCTGCTATTATTTAACTTCAACTTTATGAACCACAAGGTACTGTCTCATTCAAATACAACAGCTTCGCAGAGTATATTACACATAGTAAACCAAAAAGTCATAATATCAATATCGAACACTGAGCCGCTGAGGTGGAGGATGGAACACATGCACCCCTACACGCCCGTAGCTTATTTGCCGTCTAAAAATAGATTAATCCATGACAATGGTTCCATATTGTTTATTTTTGCAAAAGAAAACTAAATACCCTCGCTAGGCTAAAACTTGAAAGCCGGTTCTTACAATTTTTGGGTTTTGGGTTTTTAATTAATTTTTAATATATTTTAGGCTTACTTGGTCGATTAGCCTCCTAAAAACAGAACATTTTAGGAGCATTTACCGAAATGCCAGTAACTCCTCACTCACTCACTCAGGCCATGTTCCATGTTGTAAACCGAATAGCCATAGGCCCCCATAGGCCAAAGGCCTCTAAATCGAACTTATCAAAGCACGGGCGAGTGCACATACGCTACAAACATAGGGTGATTATAGCACAAGCATGCTTACACTCTTGACAAGGATGATTATAGCACAAGCATGCTTACACTATTGACAAGGGTGATTATAGCACAAGCATGCTTACACTCTTGACATAGGGTGGTTATAGCACAAGCATGCTTTCACTCTTGGGCCTATGTGAGCTCTGTACCATATCAATGCTCGTAGTTCTTTTTTATTCGCAGTGCTTTCGGTCGCAACTGTCGGCTGAAATTAGTGTTTTAAAAACATTTTTGCTGCATGTGATGAGAGATGTACTAGCGCCGTCATCTAGAAGTAAACGTGAACGATTTTTTTCTACTTGTATTGATTTCTATTTCAGTAAAACTTTGGGACTGGATGATACAATAATTACTTCCCTGACAATTTTATGTCGAGGTACATTGGTCATATCAGCGTATTCTAGCGGTAACTGATTCAGCGTGGTAGGTTCCTATTCCTGTCTTTGTAAAGTCTGATTTTACCGTTGACTTGGGTCACCTGGCTTTGCGACGTTATAGGAGGTAACCATTGCGTCTGCGAACACCACAGACGGACGTTGTTGTAACAGTTGAGGAACCATGTTTCTTTCCTCGACATGTCTGTTGAAGGATTTGTTACGAGTGACAGCAAAGCTTTTTCGATGGCTTTAATAGAGTTTAGGCGTCATCGAAAGCAATACATTTCGCCATCAGCGCGTGTATATATATTTTTGTTTTTTTTTGAAAATGGTATTGACTCTTCTGAACTGTGTCGTTTCTGACCTGCTTCGCTGCGCTGTTGATCTTATTTGATCAGTGTTGTAGAAATAATTGTTCCTGTGATAAGAACAAAAGTAGATGAGGGTGTCATTGCCCAGGTGTCGACACTTGTTGGTTTCATGGGACGTGGGAGTACACCATGTTTTTCAACATGATGTTTTGGCACCGGATGCCAAAACATTCCCGACTATATGGTCTTCTTGGTTGCGCATTAGGTTTGGAAATCTGTCGCACCAAATATAACCTTTCTCAGTAAAGTGAGTCGAGACTGTCAAGTGTCAACCGTTGCAAGAAAGTTGCGACTGCACATTTCGTCCGGCATTTTGATTAAAAACCAAATGTAATCCTGGTCTTAATATATGGGCGGTAAGTGAATATGTGTATCGTACTGCATCATTACTAGGCACTGCGTGCATGTTACCTTTAGTGTACGTGGGTGCAGCCTGTCGATGTTGGCCAAATTCCCTCCTGTTGTTGATCGGGTGTGTTTAACTCTGAACTCGTGACAAATGAAAGAGTAGAGCAACCACACCAGGATCAATCGTGTTGCCATAACGACCAAACCGTTGTTGATTTCGTTGTCGGCCAAGAACGTCCCGAACTTCTAACTGCCGATCTTTGGGTTTTGAACGCTACTGAAGTATGCTACCCAACTCGGGGTGTGGTGATTGGGTCGTAGCCCTGCTAGTCCTAAATAGGACATCCCAAGTGGTCAGTGAAGTAAACTTTCATAAGTTGCATACTCTGAGGGTGAATGTTGACGTCCAGTTCACTTGCGAACGCCGCTTCATCAACATTCATTGCGTAAGCGCTCGAGGTGTATGTGAGCCTATCGAATTATTTCTATGAGTTTGTGAGCCTACTATCTACGGGATCACCCTTTAGTTCTCTACCGAGGCATAAACTCATCTACCCCCATAGCTCTTCCTGACCCCAGTAGACCGATCGTAGTATATTATAAATATGATAGACTATCTATCACTCCCACCCCCATACTGGCCTAGTAGACTTCGCTAAGCCCACTATGCTATAGTCCTCCTAGATGGGCATATGTGCCAGATATACACACGACTTCTAGGTGTTAGGCTGCGTCCCTGTACGATATATTTCTACCATCATTCTCTCAGCTATACCCTAGATAGTAGTACATACACCCCTATAGAGTATACCTAGCCACTCGGTCTCTAGGATGATCACTATAGTACACCAGTCGACAGACTACTACCCGTTATATGTATATCAACGGTGTACCCAGGGGAGGGGGGTAGATATGACATTCACTACAGATAACCTCCCTACCCCATCAACCACTACACAGCTATACACTATAGATACAGTCCGTCAGGATATACTAGCTTTACAGCTCCTGTCGTTAAGGTCTACTATATACCTACACCATATATATACTATACTATAGTTTAGTCCTAGACGATAGCATATTAGTACACTGTCTCACTATCATGCGCCTACCTCTAGTTTGCTCCCTACTAGCTCTCTGGTACTACGAAAGATACCTATACCCATACTATATACATCTACCATAACTGTCGGCTTAGTACTTGTACATATATATATATATATATGCTATACTATACTATACTATATACCTAGAGTATACGTATTCCAGCATCTATACACCCGTCTCCACCGCACTGCGTAGACGCTTTCATTGTATACATACACCGACTACAGTCTACCGTATACCTACACCACATATATAGACCCCACACCCA